CTCTTCAGTTGTCTCCTACATGTAGAAATTTCCGCGAGGACAGACAATCAATCAATTGGATTTCAACTGATTATTATTTTGTTGCATTGATTCTGAAAGGTCGTTGTGTTGTGACAAAATTGACTTTCTCGCATTCGCAAACGTCAAATTGGAGTTAAAAAAAGAAAAAGACGTATGAAACTGGTGTTAAATGATAAGCCTTTGTTTTAAAATTAGCGCTACGTTGCAATTGGGTCACCAGTACGGTTTCTTAATGATTGTCGAATTTGCGCGAGGTCATTACTTTCCGTCATTTGCTGATAAGTGTCGGATTCGGGCTGAAGTTATCTCTATACATACAAACTGAGTTATTGACCTGCGTAAAATCCTACTGCGTTCACGTGCACTATTGTCTTTTAACGTTGAAATTACATTAATATCTTTGCTCGCGACGGCCAAATCTATGTGGTTGTTTCACTTGCATCTTAAGCAGATATTAATTATTTTTAGTAGCAGAGCTCGATTCGAGGATTTTTTGTAAAAATCCATGTAAATTACCCACCTCGGACGGATTCCGAGATCTCAAAAATTGAGACGAATTTGTTTTATACATACAATCTTGGATCTCTACCTCCTAAAATCACATTGTATCGGTTACGAAGTCCATTCAAGAACAAAATGTTCGTTCGGAGGATCATTAGCTCGATCATTTGAAACGACTTCTGAGACACCATTTTTAAGGTGCACCTCTGCATTTGTCATGCATCCATTTTTGGGGAACAACAAGCATGTAAAACCTGCCTTGGTATCATTATTCCTCTTAAATTCTCTGTTAACTCGGACAATGAACCTACGTATACTCGTTGAAATGGTATATGTCATACTCATTGTTTTTCTTTTTTAATTATTCGCGATTGAGAGTCAGTAATTAATCTCAATAAATACTCATAAACGTTACAAAGTAACTTGTGCAACAAATCGTAATTACATCTCATGCCCAGAAGCCATTAACAGTGTAATGTGTGGCACAAATTTAGAAACGGTCATTAAGACGAATAGCTCCAAAAATCCGTATGAAATGATCATCTTTCGACCAGCACTGGCAACATTTGCATCCAATACCGAACACAACCATTCCTGAGTCTGGTATTTGTTTGTATTTTTTTTATTTTTATCAAAGACACGAACAATATATAATACACCCGAGTAGCGATAAAAACCGCCCAGAGAGCCCGCAGAGAGGTACACGACACACCCGGGGTAAGATGGGCAAAGGGAAGGGAAAAGCCATACAGAGGTAGGCGGCCCAGAGAGAAACAATAAATCGTATTAGCGCGAGGAGAACCTACAAAAAGAGAGGGAAGGGGGGGGGGAGATGGGGCGCTCGCAATACACAGCCTCACGTGTAAAAAGCTTGGCTTTTTGCGCCCGCGATTGCAAAAGGGCGCGCGAGGCGTTGCGGCATCACGTACCACCGCCACATCCAGCAGCGACATCAATAATATACAGTTATACGGGCCAGGGTTTGCCGTTTTAGCCACGGAGGAGCCGCCACCGTGGAGAGACATCCTCGCTACTGTGATATAACGACGGGCTACAAAGCGAAAAGTGCAGCCGGAGCGTGCAGAGATGGTTTATACATTATTTTCAAACCTCGACCCACCAAGTTTCTCTCTCTCTCTCTCTCTCTCTCTCTCTCTCTCTCTCTCTCTCCCTACCTCGTGGTGGATACACACGGCGTTTTTCTCACTCGAAAGCGGCACTGCACGCGATGAGCTTTCACTTTGCACCTAAATCGCCCCGGGATGGGTTGGACTGCCTCTATATACGTATGTACAGGGCAAGTTTAATGCACGTGTGCATCGATTATCATCGGTGCCTCGTGGCTCTACGTCACTTGGGTACATATATTACTATTACTATCCACGTGTATAGTAATATGGGACTCGGCGTTACCGGGAACAACGCGAGTAAGTAGGTGCGAGCAATTGTCACGCTCGAGGATCCCCGGGAAGTGCAATCGAACTTAATTATCCGTCGTTTCGAGCAAAACGACTACACACGTATACGAAGGGGACCTAACTCTATAATAGCTCATTAACTTTAATGACTTTTTCGCGTTACGAGCGCGGCTAATCAAAGATTCATTGAAAAGCTTGTGGAATCGAGTGTGTGTAAGTATCACACGTACGCGCGCATTTGAGCGGTGTGATCGGTTCGGTTGACCTACGGTATGATAATACATGCGTGTCGAGATCTTTCAAGAATTTCACGTCAGAAGTGGCTCTTTTTTTTTTGTTGCTTTCTTCCCCCCCCCCCTTTTTAGTATGGATTAGCAGTGAAAGAAAATGTGTATTACCTGTATGGGAAACAATCGAAAGCACTCAAAGCTCATGGTAGCAAGTCGAAAAAAAAGAAGATTAGGGGAACAATTGTACGAGGCACTTTTAATCATCCTTTGGGTACTCCAGAGCTGTTCGCAAGGTATATCAGCCATCGTTAGCTCTTTACTGCTCTCGTAGTCATTGGCGATTGGATTGCACAACATTTTATTACGTTGTCATTGTAACGAGAAAATATGAAAGAAAAACCAAGCCCTGGCCCTGCCTCGATGGATCAAGTATAGGTGAATTTCAAAAGTCCCACCAGCCTCGTCTAGACAAAATAATGGGAGTATCACGCGGTTAGTGTACCATGCGGTGATCTCTCAATCACAGGGGAGTCGGAGGGAAACCATCAGTCTGACGCTGGGCGTTGCATATATACGTCAACCGGGGGATCTGCAGTGTCATCGTTGATCTGACCAAGGTATATACACGTTACAAAAAGCAGTGTATGTGTATGTATGCGAGGACCGCGAGGTGATCGTTGCAGATCGACGTGTGTGGGCTTTTGGCGTCAGACGCAAGCTCTCGTTCATAAATTCTTCCTCCTCCTCTCTCGGTCTTTGCAAAAATGGACACGATGACTCGGGTACATTTGGCCGGTGGGGTGCGCTGGACTTAGATGCTCCAACGCGCCGGGAGAGAGTTAACTTTTCTTTCCACCCGTGCGGATACGCCGGAACGTATTGTCTGCAGCTGACGCAATCTTGTTTCCTGGGGCATTATTTGGAACACCCTTGGTGGTTTTTTTTTTTTTTATTTTTCATTTCCTTTGCTGCCATGATTGAGGAGAATTTTTTTTTTTTTTTTTTTAACCAGCCATTCGTTTGGCAAGTATGGATTTTGGGTTTTGGGGATGAATCGCGTCTAGGAAATTTTATTGGTGATGACTAATTTGTGTATTCATGGACGATTGCACCTGAGATCCTTATAGCTCAAGTCACAGGTGAGATGCCAGGTCTGATTGGAGGGGGTATCTTTTTTAAAAGAAAAGTAAAAATTCTTAATTAAACACGATTTTGGCTTCTCGATTAACGATTTCATACAGCTTGAATCATTTTTTTAACTAGTTTTGATTATGTAAAATTAAATAAAACGACTTTATCATAATTTTTGTAACATAAAATTTTTCAAGTATAGTCGAATATAAAAAATATACTGGATTATTTTAACAGATCTAGAGTAGTATATGTATATTGTACAAGTATTTGTATTATATTGTTCGTGTATTTTATTTTTGTATTAATTTTACTTTCACAACCATAGTAGTCATGTGGTTATTGGAACTAGTTTATGCTGAGCGTCCAAGGCACTTCTTTAAACGCTGTGCATATTATAAACAAAAACAAATTTTGTTTCTCTATAAAATTCTAAATTTAATTGTCAAGTTAATTAATCAACTTATTTTTCGTACCCTATAGATCAATTGATCTTAAAGAGGTTTTCGTTGACAGTGAAATATTGTCTCGGAAATTTAATTAAAAAAATTATGTTCTCCAAGACTGTCTTTATTTAGATCAGTTACAATGATTTGACGTTATATGAAGTAAGACAAACGAGAACAAAGGACGGTATCAAGATATAAACTATTTGGCAAGTTATCTATGTAATTTTTAATTTATTAGTAGCAAAGCGTGTAAGGTAGTCAGTTTTTTAATTGCAATTAGTTCAAAGAGTCGCGTACTTATTTATGTTGTAGGTAGCAAAATATATTCCATGGCTCATTAAAATAAAAAAAATTTTAAAAACTTTATCTGTGCCATGTTTAACTTTACTCAAGACTTGACTTGTACAATCAGCTTTCTTGTTCTATTTTCTTCGGTGCTAACTGCTTTTCAAGAAAAAATATACTTGTACACCTATATGAAATACCTATAGGGTGCCCATGTTTCGTGACAGTTAATTTATTTTTCATGTCGCTTAGAATGCGTAGTTTTAATACTAAAATTGTGGTAACATAGAGATTCATCATAAAACTTATCATTTGCATAAATGTCTATTGAATCCAAAAGGTTACTCGTATTTTGAATTACTTGATCAATGACTTTGGGTATAAAAATTGTGACCAAAACATTTAGTGGTCATTACAATTTTATTATTTTCAGGAAAATACTTTATTTCAACGTGACTATGTTGAAATTCTATTTGAGTTTGGATACGCCTAGCATTTACTAATTTATTAAAAAATGTAAAAATTAGAGTATGTAAAAGATCCTCCATTAGTATTAAAAAAAATTCTCCTGACAACCTCAAAAGTTAGAATAAAAAAAAATTTTAGGATGCAGTTTAGACACTAAATAAATTACTGACTTGACTAACAAACAAATATATATATATAAAAACTACTCAACACCAAAGCTTTATTACTTATAAAATATCAAGACGAGCAGAGATGGCGCCAGATGGCGCGATACAAAAAAAAACCACAACTGAATAGCGCTACTGGTCGTAACTTATACGGTATGCGTACTATAAGAAAGATGTAACTCCGCTAATGAATGTATTACGCATTTCGAACTACCATGTATATATATATATATATACATCCAATAACAATTACAAAAAGAAAAGAAATAACAATAACGCAGCAGAAAAATCAAAAGCAGCACATTATTGGTGATAGAGAGAGACACTCACCGGGTTCAGCGAAGGATATGATTTCGGAAGTTCTCGCGTAAAAATCATCCACCACCTCCGGCTCCGGTCTATTGTACATGTCCTCGTAGTCCTGATAAGGAGGCACGTCCCGACTCCCCGGTCCACTGCCGTCCGTCTGACCCACATGTCGATACGTGTACTCGTCATCGAAGACCGGATAGCCAAACTCGTCGTAATTATTAGCCCCGTTCCTGTTCAAGTTGTTGTTGGCGTTGCCGCTGTGGTGGTGCGCCCTGTCGAGCGTGGGGTCCCGTAGCGGCTGAGCCTCGGCCCTGTATATCGTCTCGAGGGCGAGGCGCTTCGGCACCGAGGCCAACGTCTTGTTGACGTTGGGCGGCCGGGTCAGGCCGAGCTTGTGCAGTATTTGTACCTTGATGGCCTCCAGCCTGAGGACATCCGGACTGGGGCCCCGATCATTGGGACCTGCGGCGTTGCCGTTGTCGTCGCTGCCACCGCTGTCGCCGCGGTGCAAGTGCGCGTGCTGCTGGTGGGGACACCCAGGACAGGTCTGGTGGGCGCTTTGCCGAGCCAAGGCCGGCAGGGGTGTCAAACTCCAGACTAGCAGAATCACGAGTATAATGGTGGTCGGCAACGAGCTGCCGTGGTGGTGCATAGCTGCGTCGGCGTTGCTGCCGCTCGTGTGCCCGTAGTGTTGCCTTTGGGGGAAACATCCCGACCGAGCGATCGAGAATCCGTGGCTGCGTTTGACGATAAACAGGCCTCGATCGAGCGGTCGCCGATGGCTTTGACGGTCCGACGACGATTTGGTGGAAGCGGTGCAATTGCCGGCCGGCGCGTTCAAAGGGCTCGACGGTGGGTTTGAGTCTCGAGGGGTAGCGATGAGTCCCGCCGATTTTGGCGCCTGGTGCATCTCGGCGGCGAGTCACCTTTTTCTCCGGCCCTCGGGGCGGGTCGCCTCGACGAGTCGCGGTGAACTTCCGACGAGCCGGCTGTCGTTCCGCCTCGCCGGCGATGGCCAAGCACCGGCCGGTGATGGGCGTCGGAAAGTGCCACAGCGGTCCGGGCCAGTTGGGAGACGTGACTTGCTCTCCCCGCGGTGGGACAACGACGCAACGGCCTGGGTCTCCGTGGAGGGGTTTGCGATGACGGAGGATGTGATGGCAGAAGATGATGGCGACTGCGTTGACGGGGAGAAGGCATCCTCGCCCGAGCCCCCCATTACCAATGTGCCGGGGCCGCTACCGATGAATCGCTCTCACCGCCGCGTCTACCCTGTGTTACCAGAAGGTTGGTTCGCCTGGCCATTCGCGCGACCACTGCTGCTCCGGTGCCCTTTTTCTTCACGAAACGAGTATACCAACGGAGCCCTTTTATCCTTCTTGTCCTTCCTTCATATGTGAACGCGCGGATCGCTCAGTGATATACTGTGAGTTAGGTGTACGAAGGTAAGAACAGTTTACTCGTGACACCCGTGGTGACGGTGAATTATCGTTACTATATTTGGAAATACTGTTCCCAAAGCTATCTTCGTACGGGTCACTGGGGGGGCCGATGAATCACAGTTGCGGTTCGATTTGACGTTTGCTGACGGATCTACAACTACTTGCGTACTTTTGTGGTGGGGGGGGGGGTTGATAATTTTACGTACCACGAGACTTTACAGTTTGTTAGCCTAAATGAGGATCGGTGTGATCGGGCCCCTAGGGACGTCTAGACCTTCTCGGGCACTTTCTGTGTATACCTAATATTTCACTACGAGTTATCTTCACGCGGTGATGATGATGCACCATTTAAATAGTCTGACGGCACTCTGCTACTGATGTGGATCCGCGAAACGCGTCGCATCCAGCGTGGACTGCTCGGGGCTACGTGTTTATCGGGTTGACTCACCAGGACGACCAAGTCACTACATATGTTTCGCTCGAAATGGCCCAAAACGTGTTGGGTGACAACACACGTCCCTCATCCCCCGATAGTTCTTTCCGTTTTCACGAAAAAAAATGTCACCCAACTGATTACACGATCACAATGATTCACGAGCCCTATACTGCCTCCTCCCCCACGAGCATCACTTAATGTTAAAACTGTACAAAATTATTACAACGTTGCTGGTCCGGCCTGTCACTGTTTCACAGGGAGGGGACGTCTTGTCTCGTGGACGTGCACATCAGCTCGAGCCTACAAGTACATGCCACCACGAATGATGAAAAACAATTTTTTACGAAAAACCGAATGAACAACAACCACAACAATATCAACAACAACAACGGTAAAACTGCACAGGTCCAACAGAAAAACAAAAAATACAAATATATGTGTGTGTATGTGTGTGTGTGTGTTTGTGTAGATATATATTGCAAGAGAGCGTGGGTGGCAATGATATTTGTTTTTTGTAATTTTTTTCAAATTTTTTTTGTTTTTTTTTTTGTTTTCGTTTATAACGCTACACGCAATGCCCGAAGCACGCTTGTCGGAGGCGCGCCGAACACTGAGGTTTTTCACCACCAACACCACTACCAACCACCCGCCGCTTTACTCGCCTACACCGCCGTCGTTGCCGCCGTTGCCGCACCACCGCGACTACCGCCACCACCACTACCACTGTCGCAACACCAATCCCCACTGTATGTACGCGCGTACTCTCGCGAATATAGTCGTATAGTTGGAGTTGTCGTGGTCTTCGCAGAGGGGATGACTGGACGTGGAAGACAGAGAGGAAGAGGCGCCCTATCTCTATCCGCTAACCGGCTACTCGCCAGAACTATCTGCCGGTAGTATAACGACTTGTCCCCGAAGTGTGCGTGTGTGGGGGGTGGACGTTATATGTATATACGTGCAAAACTCGCGCGACAAAAGGGAGGGAAGCGATCCCCCGCCGGCGCGACGCGATAGTGCGTTTGACGCGATGGTGCGTTCGCGAGGAGGGAGTCTCATCCCTCTGTTCTCGCGCGCGCACGCCTAAGGGGAGGGACGTGGCAAAAAGTCGGGAACTGGCCGAGATATCTCCACGGGTTTTCGCCGACAACTCGACCGGGGGAGAAAATAAAACTCGGGTCCACGTGACTATCGCGTGGACCTGTTATCCCCATATATGTGTATATATATATACACATACGTGTGGCGGGGTGTCTTCGTTTCGTCGGGGACTGAACTTTGTAATTTGCAAAAGTGGAGCTCCTACGAGAAATCACTTGTTTGCCCAAGGGGCTTTGTAATGGGGGTCTCTTGGGATGCGTGGCTCGAGGCTGACGAACGATACGACTCGGTTGTATCCACTGGTGGATGTTTTGTATTTATTGGTGATTAACGCCTGGGCCAATTCTATTTGGGCGGGAAGATAATTTTTCGGGCTGAAGGATATTTTTTAAGCAAAGTTTGTTTTGTCAGGTACGTGGAGCCTAAACAGTGTGGCACAATAATATAGACCATCGAATTCAGGATTTAGATTCTTTATCTGGAGGGTCCGTGAGTGCTATGACATAGTTGTTTTAAGCATTAACATGAGTAATGGAGCATTTCTGATTATAAAATATCGTACAAGCTTACGGTATGAGATATAATGCAATGGTACGTTAAAATCGAAGAAAAAATTGTCTATTTCATAAGTGTTAGAAAAAATTATACATAGAGTAAAATAATGGTACGTTAATTCAAATAACAGACTTCTCATAACTGGATGTAGTCGACTAGATTAGAACGATAAGTGCTTGAAAGCCCATGCAATAAAAATGTTATGAACAATTTTTTGTTCAATTAAAAAATGTTACATAATTTTGTTACATTATTCATATTGATTGTAGCAAAAAAAGTATCTTGCAAGATTTTCGTTATACGTTTACATGTCATGGAAGAAATTCCCAAAGTTTAAATTTTTTTGGGATTCTGCTCGCTTGCTTACGATAAATTACGAAACCATTTATCATTTCGCAACTTGTGAATTGTTAATCTAGTATCACTTTTTAATGAGATCTTGATTTATGTCTGCTACGTTGTACCATCATCTCGTGGTGAGGTTCTAAATTTTCATTGAGGTGTATAGTTTTCGCGACTCGCGTATTCCGCTGCGTAACTTGAGACTCGAAAATTTTTATTCGTATTCTTGAAGGTAGAATTAAAGACATCCTAATTGCATATTATGAAATACTTTATACGATAATTGTTAAAATATTAAAGAAACAAGTAATAAATTACTTATAAAAGTAAAAAAAAAAATTCATTAAAAAAATAAATGATAACATCATTCATGATACACAAATATTATTCTAATGAATCTAGTACATGGTAAAGATAAAAAGTGTAAGTTTATAATTTAATTGGATAGGAAGTATGTATTAATGCATGTACGCATTTTAGTTAACTATTTTTTGTTCAAACAAGTTTTTCCTTCCTTACAAAAGTTAGTTTTAGTCAAACTTTGGTTTAGCAACTTTTGCAGTTGCAAGTAGTTGCAACTAATGCTGTTATATAATGTATTAATGATTGTGCTTTTTGAGGTAACAGAAAATCATCTTCCTTAAAGTGACCAAAAGCTGTAGGATCAAGTTTAAATACTTTAACGTTAAAACATTGTTGTACTTATATACTTTATATACTTTATAACATATGATCGCAAAATATGCAAGTTTACAGAGCTGGAAGTGACAAATAACTTTTCGATCGACCATTTGCAATATTTATGTGCCCAATAATGCAATTCGATTAATAATTCACAAGTTGTATATTTCTAATATTCGAAAAAATCAAGGACGTCAAGTATACAAAACACAATCGCAAAATATAATCAGACCATACTTATGTATATATACTGTACGTGACACCACTTTGTATTATAAATTTAGAAATTTAGAAATTTTTACGTTTCGTTTCATAAATTAGTCATTTACGATAAATCGTACTCGAAATGGAGTAATTCAAACTTTTTGAAGTTATCGGCTGAAAATTTCTAAATTATGTTCCATTAGGAATTTTAATTTTTTTTACCAAACATACTTACCCAGGCAATTTTAGCATGAATACAACTTTTCTTGTTTTTCACTTTTCATGAGTTAGTCATTCATGACTTGAAACAAAGTAATTATGTTTAATGAAGTAGTCAACTGAGGATTTCTAAATATTGTGTTCAATTAGGAGTTTAAACTTTCTCTGAAATAGATATCCACACAGGCATATCTGTGTACGTACAAAGTTTTTCGGGTTTTTGATCTTTTGTGAGTCAATTATGACTCGAAACAAAGTAATTACGTTTCTATGAAGATTTCGACTGAATATTTCGAAGTTGTCTTTAATTTGGAGCTTTCAATTGGAAATTAAAACTTTTCTTACAAAAGATACTCATCTAAGGAGGGGCACTACATATATTTGTATACTTTTCTATTAATTTGTCCTCGAAAAATCTTTCAAGTTTTGTCAAAATACGTATTTATTTGATGTATTTGAAAAGTCGAAAAACAATACTACGGAAGAACTAGAATAAAACGTCATTTTACAACAAAATTTTAAAATAAAAAAACTTTAAAGTACGGAAATCAATAGTGAATGTACAAAAATCTTTAAAATATTTGGTACGACTGTGATTAATCACCTTATCAAAGTCCTATCTATTACTCAGTATTTTTTCAAGTTAAAGTTGAGTATCTGAACATATAAAATCTTCCATAATATTAAGTACTTTAGTTTTTTTCAACTTAATATCATTAAAACACCAAACTACTCGATCCTTGAATACTTGAAAATACAAACTACACTTGGAATACTTAAACTGTTGGAATACTTGACTCTTTTAATAAAACTTAAGATCTTGATTCGTTGTTTAAATTCATTGAACCATAAAAAATGTTAGCCTCCAAAGTTCTCAAGTTTTTAAACAATTTGAGGTTTTAAACTGTAAGTGATAATTTACATGCTTCAAAA